AGCGCTAGATCGCATCAAGTGGAGAAACTGTTTTGGAAGAGACTGTGGACCTGTCGTCTTGACAGATTACAGATGAATGAATGAATGTATTATAACAGTACAGTACATTATAAGAGAGTTTTTCATAGATAAGAAGTTAATTCAATTAACTGAATTTTAGATTTCCGAACCACCTTTCTCAGTAATTAATTCGGATAACAGGCGTTCTACTGTGTCTATTTGCACGTGGCATAGCTCAGGCAGTTATGTGCTGCCTTCTCACTGCGCAGCCACTGGTTCAAACCCGGGTTTCTTCATTTGACAGTCATGATTGGTGAAATTGCATTGGAACAACCTTTCTTTGAGTTTCTTCAGTTTTTCCCTGCTGATCATCCGCCCATCATTGCACACTGCCCCCCCCCTGATGTGTGCATAGATAATGAATTGGAAAGGGTATGGATGGAAGTGGTGGTGGGCTGTTTTGAGCTACTATCCCAGAATTTACTGGAAGAAAGGTGGAAACCCTTGAAGAACATCAAGCAGAATAGCTGGTAACTGAGCCCAAATGCGAACCCCAGACTTCCAGAATATGATAGCAGTTCTGTTGGGATAGAGCAGTGGGTATGTTTCCCACTGCATAGAATATGGAGGGCTGATAATTCTTATTGTAGGGTAGACTGTGCTATTCTGAAGCAACTGCAGGCAGCAGAGCCAAGCAGTGGGTTCATGATCACTGCCATGGGCGTCCAGACCAGCTCTGGGGCCCACCCACTCTTGTATCCATCAGGTACTCAGGGGTGAAGTGGCTGGGGCATGAAGCTGACCACACATGTCCGTCTAGTGATGAGATGTACAGAGCACATTTTAATTTCTTGGTGCTTAATTAAGCACAGGGATAGCTTCACTTTCTCCTTCTCATTGCCACAAACCTCAGAATACAGGGTCTGATCTCTGTACTGTTCATAGGTTTTGGCTCCACCAGTTTTCCTGGGGGACATCAGATCTGATCCAAGCAGTACTGGCGAGGTCTGGAAGCAACAAGTGAGAGTCCATTGCTACACTCAACTCCTGTTGTGATAGTGTCCCACACAGAGACACAGGAGTGCCACAACTGTGACAGGTGTTCAGAGACAGTGCGAATGATCCAGACAAGTCACATTGGCAGGGAGGGCGCACGGACTGGTGCTGAAATAGTGGACGAAGGTCACTATTTCCTGATCGGAGGAGATGGGAATGTGTACGAGGGTAGAGGCTTGGATGCTATGTCCTTTCACAAGAGACCAGAAGGTGTACTGGGAATTTTAATAAACACGAATTAACAGACAGACAGATAGAAGGAGCTCAGGAGCTTCTTGCACTGGGAGTGAAGCTGAGGAAACTGTCACAACCAGACCATAGATACTGACAGTCCAGGGAAATATGTTGTTAAAGTGATCAAGAAGTGGCCACACTGGTCACCCACTTATCAGATTACATGATGTTCATTTAAATATATTACACAGTTACACAGGTTGTGTTTATGTTATGCCGGTGGAGACATGCACTCGCCTGGTATGGTGTTCACATGGGCCAGGCCTTCTACACATCACTTTGTAGACTCTGCAGATGTCTTGCTTACTTAAATATCACTGTATGCCTAGTCTGCTGTCAGTCTCACTGCCGTAACGCACGTGACTATTATTCTTATTCCACGTTCATGTAGTTGTGTAACAGGCACAATACAGCAGTTTCCTTTTGAAGTTTTTCTTTTGAAGTCTTTACCCTTCCTCGTACTGTACGCAATGTGAAGAAGCGTGTGGTCTCTTCATGTTATTGGTTGCAACATGTGATTAGCATGTATTAGCAAGAGTGGCTGAGAACATTTTTGAAAGTAAGCTGGATGGTAGAAGAAAAGTGGGAATGTCCAAACTGAGATAGTTGGAAGATGTAGAGAATGATTTACAAGAGCTGAAAGTGAAGAGATGGAGGAAAAAGGCAAATAATACAGAGAAAAGGGCATTTGTTGCAAATGACGTCAACAGTGTTTGAGGAGTGTAGAGTCAAGGAGTAAGTAAGTAAGTAAGTAATCTAGCATTTCTAAATTCTGTTATATCCATATATTCTTTATGTAACCCGATGAACTGTGCTGATGTCTAGCAATTCAGTATCAACTGAGCCTGCTTTAACCGATCTGTTCTGCCCTTGACCCTTGATTCAGAGATGGAGTATCCCAACTGAGCATGTTTGCGGTTTTCATCAGTACCTACATGCGAACTGGGATGTTGGATCCATCGCCAATATAGTGTTGCAAAGCCTAAATGATCCTATAAATATATGTCAATTAAGAAAAACAGAACATTTTCATGAACTTATATACAGACGTTTTGTTCCAAGCCTGAAGGTTGCCGATTCGATTTCCCATGAAGTCACTGGGATTTTCTTTTCAATTGACCTAATCCTTTGAGCCAAACTATGGCCCTGGGGTCGACTCAGCCTCTAACAGAAATGAATACCAAGAAACTTCCTTAGGGTTAAAGGGCGGTGGGCGTGTAAGGTTGACAACCTCACCGCCATCTGTGAGCGGACTGTCTAGAAAATGTGGAAGCCTCGACGTCTCTTAACCCTATGTGTCTCCACGGCCTGTTACAGGGATAGCTTTACCTTACAGACTTTTTGTAGGAGATGATCCCTTCAAAAGGCCTCTACTTACAAATAAAAGCAGACTGGCGTCGGAGTGCTCTAGCGGCAGTGTGTTAGAGTGCGCGGCCACAGGCGTCGTTTTCTTGCAAATTATCGGATGCCGACAGTCAGGGAAATAGACGGCTGCACAGAGAAGTGTGGCGGACAGACAGTGGGTGTCAACACATATACATTGACGCCTGAAGCATGTAGGACTGTTTTCACGTGACAGAGTCACGACATATCTTGTCATGACATCTAGACTGATGTCCAGATGTTAATGTCACTGTCAAACCGAGTCTGATTTGTGGTAACACATGTCACGACTTTGACCACCCCCAAAAAACAACCATCATGATGTGAAATGTCACGTGAACACGAAACTCTCCTCCAAGATCGGTCTCTTGTACATCCTTTCAACCTTCCATTGATCATGCTACCATTCGACACCGGGCTGACGTAACATGATGGTCTATGAACCACAAATACATTCTTTTCTATCATCTTGATGAGCAGTTCCACAGACTTCATGTCGTCATAACCCCCGCGACGTGCAGTTGGAGAGAGTTCGCAGTGAACAGATGGGGTCTAGCTGTGTTGCTTTTGGTGGGACACGAAATAACAAGTACCGGAACCAGTTTGTGCTATACACATATCATCTGATTGGTGAAACAATACGCAACACACATGGACTGTGTTTTTGATTGGGCGTTAGGTAATATCATTTTATAGTCTCTGCTACAAGTGGATTGTAAAGTTGCGTACAAGCTGCGTTCTTGTCGGTTTACAACGTCTGTCGTCAAAGTGATCCCGCAAGAAATTTGACTGTGACCTTCCACGGTACGAATTATGATTCCCAGAAGGAAGATAACATATATACAACGCAAGCAACTCAGAGGACGAGGACAAGGACCTTCCACCCGCTGTGCGCAGTAGAACTCCCAACCAACTTCCACTTGGAAAATACGAGTAATAGTGACGTTTAGATCAGTTCCCGGCTCCATTGCAATGCCCCACTCACCATCAGACAATACGTCAAAGTAACAGGAAATTCTGATGCACAAGACAGCATCCTACGATCCTAAACGAGGACGCCAAGAATATACCACGAATAAGTTCACAAAAGCCGGTCACGGTAGCCGAGCGGTCTAAGGCATACACTCTCTTCGCTCGCTCGGAAGCCGGGATCGTGGGTTCTGTGTTTGTGTACAGGTAGAGGCCTTGCGACGAGCTGATCGCCCGCCCAAGGAGTCTTACCGAATGTCTAAGATCTAATAAACCGAAGTGAAACGGGGAGTTTCATGGAGGTAGACCAAGGCCACAATTTGGGCTGTAGCGCCAAAGGGGGGGGGGGAATTCAGAAAGGCACAATGGTCTGTCTGGTGGCACTAGGCGGAAAACGAACAAGAATTGTCAACGGCCGTGTCTAGATTTTACTGGGGAAATAGTCAGCATCTCGATAACAAGTGTGACGTAATTGTAGTAGTTAGAATTACTTCACTTCCTCCGGGTTTTTCCGGTTAGAAGTCCGCAGAAACAGTATACACGTCGAAGTAATTAGAACGGAAGCGAAAGTAAATCTGACGCATGCGCTGTGCATATAAAGATAATGCTGAAACAATGACATGCTTTTGCGTGGAGCAAACGCTCGGACATGGCGCAAAACTCGCACCTCAAAGGTCACATAGGTTTAGAAAATATACTCGAGAACAAAAGCAAATCTGTAAGATTTGAGGCTTTCACGGCGGTGACTATGAAGAAAGCAGTCTTCTGGGATTTGGCACCGTGTATATGTGGTGTTAACCGACGTTTCGGAGGAACGTATCGCCCCCATCTTCAGGGTAGAAGAAAAA